ACATAGCTATTCTTCTTCTTCTTCTTCTATTCTCTTATTGGAGTCGATCGATTGGTGACGGTGTGCTCAGGTTTTATTCGTTTCATTTAGCGCCAATCAAAGCCCAAAAGTTTCCTTTTTTGCCAATGGATGTTTCGATCAATCCGTCGACTCTACATTTGGGGGTGGTAATTACTAGCATCATCGTCATCGTGATGATGATGATGATGATGATGATCACCATCATCATTGTTGGCCAGTCGTTGGTCACGGAGCCATTTCAAGCTTTTTATCATCAAAAAGCTTAGGAAGGGGAAACTTATTTACTTGAACTTCCATGCACGGAATACAGCAAGCACTTGCTCGATATAGTATATAGCTATATATATCGTTAGTTCGCAGTGCGCGGAACTAATTCACGCAAACCTTCCGATTCCTTGGGAGCCAACACGGGGCAAACTGTACTAATACTAGTAACGAGCAAAAACTTTACCCGACCGAAAACCGTTTTGCAAGCAACTTCGGCGAAGTTGGACGGGAAGCTCTTGTTTCTTGGATCCGGTGGTGGGGAGTGGAAAGGAAAGTGGAGGCTTTTCTCCACTGTGTAACCAACCGGTTCCCAATTTTTGTGATGGTTCCCCCTAAAATTCGCGGTAAACGCAGGTTGTGGGTTCGCTTTCATGGAGGAGCGGAAAGCAAGGGACAAAAAATTTTAAAAAATACTATTATTGCGGGATTCAATGAGAGGTCTGGGAATTATCATTTCCGATGCAGAGAAAAAGGAAAAAATAAAATAGAACAAAAAAAAAAATCCATGGTTTCTCCTCTAGATGTGCGGTTGGATTGAGCGCATCAGGGATGGGTGATGAATGATGAGCTGCTGCTGCTCGTTTTGCACACTTGCATTTATGATATTAGCTCATTCTCATGCAAGGATCTTTTTTTTTTTTCTTTGTCTTTTTTTTTTCTTTTCTCCTTCGATCTTCAGACTCAGACCGGCTGTGATACCTCAGAAGCAGCAGCGCGAGGAAATACCGTACATTAGTGCTGTACAGTGCGATCAGAGGAGTTCTACCTCTCTACCTCTTATGTCAAATGTCAAATGGGCACCAGCATCCGCCCGAGGTTCGATACCAAGTCCCATACCAAACAATGGGGCAGCTGGTAGCTAGCCTTTTTTCTTTTCTTTCTTTTTTTTTTTCTTCTTTAATTCAGGGTTCTGTGCATACTAGTACTACTAAGGTGGTCAAGCGATGACCTCACTCCATCACTGCATATTCTTCTTGGATCGAGGAAGAAGAAGAAGAAGAAGAAGAAGAAGAAGAAGAAGAAGAAGAAGAAGAAGAGCCCATGCGGTTCGAGCTGTTCTAGTATTTCGCTATCAACAATTCTTCTACAAAGAAGCCGACGTTGTGGAAAAAACATGATGGAGGGTTGTTTCTGTTTTCCCAACTTCTTATTATTTTTTTACCAAGTAAATTGGGATAAAACACAAGACTACGGCGATGTCAAAAATCTACCGCAGCTTGGCATAGATACCACCTTCTCTATCTGGATTCTTGGCCGGTTCGCCAATTATTAAATAAAAAAATACGAGTAATCTGGCATGTCGCACAACCACAGCGTCTCTCTGGTCAGTCAGTCTGTCTCCCTCGCCAGTTTCTACCAGGTAAGGCGGAAGGGAGGGTATGGGAGCGTCGACGTGTCCAAGTTGGGGTGAGAAGGAGAGAAGATTTGATGAATTGATCCATACTATCCCTGGGTGAAAGCGTGTTCATGTTCATGTCCATGTCTATGCTGAAGACAAAGAGGCCATATGCGCAATGCCATTTCCGTGTTGATTATCCTGAAATATGCATGGTATAGTATCCGTGCATAACTCCGCACAATGAATGCCATTCTTCATTCTTCACCGAGAGACCATGGAACAAAGAGACGGTGAACGAGTGTCGAACGTTTCAATGCGTTTCAAGTTTCTGTTTCCACGCAGCCGGCGCCTTGCTCCTCATATCGAAATCATTGGCCCTGGGGATGCCACCGGGGCATATCCACTCCCTCACTTTCCTCTCTTCCCTCTGCCATCATCCTGCAGTCTGATCAAAGTTTGTCCGATCCTCCCATGGCCGAACTAGCCAACTACCATGTATGTATGTACAGTACATGTACGTTAGGCAGGCAGTCAGTCACTAAGCACTTGTTGTGCTACTTGTACTACTTCTACCCCGCCAGAACCAACCTGGCCAACCAACCAGCAGCCGCCACCCCTGATCCCCCACCTCATCCTTACAGTCCCTTCTTCACCTCCGGATCGCAGTACAAAGTCGCTGCCTGCCCGCCAGATCTTGCGGTCTGCCCTCTTTTTTTTTTTTTCCTGCCCTTCCCGCCGGCCACCCACCAAACCACACTGCCACACCCATGCTGCATCTTGCATAGCCGGCGCAAATCCCCTTGCGCATCTTCTCCGTCGCCCTGGGCGTCAAATGCGCCGAGTATTTTTTGTATTTTGTATTTTCTTCTTCGTCGCCTTCTTTTTCTTCTTTTCTTCTTCTTCTTCTATCACCAAATCGTATTGCCTAGTATGCTAGTTCCTGGGAAACGGAGCACTCTCTTTCCCTATGCAAAAAAAAAGTGGGTAAAGATGAGAATAAAAGATGAATGCTGGCTTGTTTGAAGGATAACACCCTTGTTGTGTATATTACATACCATGATGATAATAAAAAAGAAGAAAAAACTTTATAAAATGATAGTTATATGATATTCGTGGAATTATTCGTCTGCTTCTGCTGCACTTCTTTACAGCATAATCCAGTCCCCTTTTGTCTTGTCTTGTCTTGTCTCGTTCCATTTTACTTATTTATGGGCTCATTAGGAGGAATTAAAACACATCTCGAAAACAACAGGGAAATAATAACATAAAATGGCTGATCGGGAGGAGGATTTTTTTTTTTTTTTTTTTTTTTTTGCTCAGTAAAGAATCCTTCCAATTTCAAAGAGGAGGATGAAAACGGGTCCCCCCTGCTCGGCCAAAAGGTTATTTATTTACATATCATTCGCAATCCCCAAAAAACTTTCAACCCGACTAACTAGTTAACGAACATCCAATAGTTAGTTAAGTTGAGCTTGTCAACTAATAATAACTTCTTTACTAAACTGAATCGGTAATAACAGTCATCATTGCTCAGCAAAGAGTAACATGAACATCGGCCCCGTATCTTTGGATCTTTGTGGGGGGGAGGGGCCCGAGAAGAAAAACAGGTGGATGAGGTAGGGCCACGGCAACGATCCAGGTTAGGTAAGTGGGTCACTGGACAGGACAAATTCGGGAAGGGAAGGGCTGCTATTTTAAGGCATGGGTCCTAAAATGTCAAAATCATTCGAAAAAGGGAAAGAAGAAGAAAAAAAAGAAAAGAAAAGCAAAGAAACAGAAATATATTACCCACCCGGCCTTGTGTTTCGCAAATATTCAACTTGTCGTATTGAAAATATGATGTAAAGCAGGAAGTCAAGAGGTCCTCCCCAAGCCACAGTACCACCATTACAGTATTCCGTAACAGATTGGAGAATTACATTACATACTACGGGGTAACTATGTACGAAACCCAACCCCCTTCGCCGATTAACTATTGGGTCGAACTCGATGGAAAGAAAATCATTTCAAAAAGGACCACCACCGGAGCCAACCCTTGGAACTTTTGATTGAAACTTTGAACCTAACTTCCAGGGTTTGGGTTGAACAAGAAGCAACCTGCCAGAAGAAAGGGCTCCTCCGGAAACCGCTTCTGTCCTAGTGCATGCAATGGCAATTGGTGGTGGTGGTGTGATCTGTGATCTGCAAACGTCTTTTTCTTTTTTTTTTCTTTCCTCGTCCCGAGAGGAAGTTGACTGTCTTAATGATAGTTAAGGTAAGATGAACGCTTAGTTATTAGTTTAACTGCTGCGTAGTGAGATGCTGGTTAAAAATAGGTTATCGCTCCAGTCAATGAAAGATTTGGGCAGCAGTACAGATTTTTCCATCGTCGGATAACTGACTCGTCTGGAGACAAGACATTTCATTTTTTTGGTTTCGACGTGGAACATAATATGTGAATCTTTTGGCGAGAAATGGTTTTCTGTTAACTGCTATCACTTAGCCAACGACGGATCTTCACAATTTCCGCATTCGGGGCCGCGATAGAAGGGACATTTCCTCCTTGCTTGCCACGTTTCTAACGTGGCACCGCAGGGAGGCCCGTTGCTGCAATATTCACTTGCTTCCCGGCCCTTCTAATCAACCGGGCAGGGCGATCTTCACTGTTTGTTATAATCACGCTTTGAAACCAACTCATAAACGTAGCGCAAAGGGATTCTCTTTCTATTTTTACTTCTCAAGAGAGAGTATGTATAGTAAGGAGGTTGGAGAGGGGGTTGTGACAAAATTTTGCTCGCTTCCACTCCCCCTCCCTTACAGTGAGATAACTCGTTCTCGTTAGTACGGAGTAGTACCTCAAGGATTGCATCTTTTTTTTTTTAAGCTTTGATCGCAATCCGCTCAACCCATGGTTCTGTACGGAGAGGTTCCCAATTTTGCTCAAACAACTTAAATCCGACCATCATCGGTCCGGACTAGTCATGTGTGAGTTTGACCTTGGACCTTTCGCTCCTCCCACCAAGGGAAGGCAGAGGTCCCGGCGTGGTGATCCCTTGCTTCTCGTGCGTCCCCGATCTTCCGAGAAATGCAATTTTCGTTCCCCGAGAAAAAAAAAAAAAAAAAACAGACAATCAATTAATCAATCGGAAGCAAGGAGAGGCAACGCGGGGTCATTATTCATCCGACGGAGATCATTGTACTGTACGTTCGATATAAGGGTGTGTCGCTGCGAGGAAGCATGCAAGCTGGGTTGGTTGCACTGCGTCCCCTGGAAACCGCACAGGGGGGCCAACCTTCATATCATCATACCACGACTCCCACATGGCGCGTGGTGTGGGCGAGCGGGGGGGAGTACAGAAACTAGTTTTCTGTCCTTATGATCCAATTCGTATTTTTCGCTGCTGGTTAATTAACTTTTTCGTCCGTGGGACCATGGTTGATTAACTTGATTTAGTTGAAAAGCCTGCTTCCATTTTTAAGGTTCAATTCGCTCCCCTCAACCCCCTTGCATCAACGACAAATTGATGGAACCCAATTCGTATTTTGGTTGTCATCGTTCCACGGATTGAAAGGTTAATGATCAATAATGGATTCCTGTGGATCGAATCCTTGAACTGGATGGATGCCTTAACCTTGCTCGGCAAAGTTAGTTTTGCATCAACCGTATCGGAAGAAAAGTATTGTCTCTCTAGAAAAGGGAAACAGCGGAGTCACTCTTCCATCGGCATGAGGGGAAGATCCAAAATCTGGGGGGCGTATCTTATTAATAGCAGCGCGCCCCTTTCTTTCCCTTTTGGACACGAAGCTTGGTCTAACTGTTCCGCTCGGCGAATGGTTAATGACAACTAACACGCCAACACCCGTGGACCCATTCCTTTCCTGCAAGGGCGTGTGATTCGAACGATGCGAGCCACTAATAAGCTCCCACCCACTCACATGGCTCCGCGCTTCAAACTTCAATTTCCATACCATTGCGATATTTGTCAAGAAAAAAGAGGTAAGACAAAGGGGCCCCCCTCCATGCGCTCTCTCTCCTCCCTCGTGAAGGATTACTG